GTTAATATTCTTCAAGTGCTAATCGGTATCTTATTTTTATTAGCTTGCATATTGGGAAAGGTACAGTACATGTTCTTTATTAATTAACAAAGAATAAAAATCGATATATTTAATCATAATTTACATCTCAATGTTATAATTCATGTACTTTTGTACATATGTATATTTACATTTCTTATTTTATTAATCCTTTACAGTTATAATTTTTATTATACAGTAACGCGTGTATTTCAAACATTTATATAAGTATTAATTTACTTTAAATATATTAATATTATAAGTTTACAGATTTTATTATTTTATTGTATATGGTGGTCGTCTCTCTTAATCACTAAAATATATAATATTAATTTGTGTTGTCTTATATCATTTCAAAATTAACGATAAAATGTTCAATTAATCGTAACGTTTTTTCGGACATTGCTTTCTTTGTACAATAGCTTTTTTCAAGTTTTGCTTTATTTAAGTTTTGTGTGTTCTGTAAATTATGATGTTTTACTATACAGGGTGTATCTGAAATAACGTACACTAATCATACATATACATATATTCCTAATAAAAAACTGAGTCGAAAAGTCCTCTACCATTTTGCAATTTTCGCAATAGTTAACAAGATATCTAAAATCTAAAGCAACTAAAAATCGCTAAATATTGGTTTTCAATAATTTTTTACTCAAATACTATCAACTTTATAGAAAAATTGCAACAGACAAAAATCATTTATTTTCTTCTCATAAAACTAAGATTTTTTTCAGAATTTTTTATCAACTTTTAGTATTGCATTTTCTTATTTTTACCAACATGAGAAAATATGGTATTAAAAAATTCTGAAAAAATTCTCATAACTTTATGAGAAGAAAGAATTTTTATCTCTAGCAAATTTTCTGTAAAGTTGATAGTATTTGAATAAAAAATTATTGAAAACCAATGTTCAGCGATTTTTTGTAATTAATATCTTGTTAACTATTGCGAAAATTGCAAAATGATAAAGAATTTTTCGACTCAATTTTTTATTAGGAATAGCACTGTATGATTAGTGTATGTTATTTTAGATACACCCTGTATATGTATTATAAAGTGCAATATATAAAAATATTTTTCTTCTATATATAGGAAAGCGCTGTCCTAAAATATTAATTTTATTTAAATTTATATAATTTAGCACATACATAGCGTGAACATCTCAGTTAATGCTAATTGTAATTGTGCAATTTTAATTACTTTTATATGTATATTTGCTTATAAACCATTACATATTGCTCTATTTATAATTGGTTTTTTACTATAAATATTTGATAACTTTTTATTTTCATATATAAAAATATTTTATTTTTTTATAGCAGAAGAAATTTTTTAATGATTATCGCTCTCTTGCATGTATCTTTAAATGTATATCTTACAGGTATTTTGCGGTACAAAGTGGACTTTCAAAGTATGCAGCTGGACGACATCGAGACTGATGGCTTTGATTTGGACGACTACTAAGTCCACGACTCAATCAACATTTGGTTCTCTTAGCTTCGGAGAAAGCAGGGACTTGAGTATGTTCTTTCTCATGATGCCCCAAGAAAGAAGCATAAAGAAAATATGTTTCAAAATTAACAATACAGCACGTACGATATCGTCATAAAATTATTGTCTAGAGTTTACCAAACATGAAGCAGATCGTAATTGATACACGAAAGAGAAGAGCACCAGCGAATATGGCGCGGCTGATAATCCATGTCTATAAAAGAAAAGGCGATTCGAAGACTGTGACACTTAATTAAAGCCAGCTTGATACCTGCCTATTCTCATACATTCACCACCTTATATTACAATTTATGGTCTTTAATTATTCACAGGGATTCCTTTAAACAAACTACGCGCTCTACAGTTCCGAATACAAATGTACAGTGTATGGTGGTTCGATCGTAATTTTATATTAAATTGATGTTTGTCATCTTATCATAAATTTTACGAGAAATGAGTGTTTGAGCTACAAGAGTGGCTATAGCGTTATTTTGTTCAGACACAATCATGAAAGAGCTGTAATAAACTGATTATTATGAACATACAATTGCGTATCGTGCATTCTACACCGATATTTGCAAAATTCATACGGAGAAGAGTTCTGTAAATAGATGTCAATTTTTAAAAACGGCACAGTTGCCTTAGACATAAGTTGAGGTCGCGTACACGATCCACGGAGTAAATGAAGTATTTCCGTCTTATGCAGTGATACACACTTGTAAACGTAAGGACAGATAATTCCTCGCAATCCTACATTGCTCCGTTGCTGGCTCTTGGCTCTTAGATTTTTGTACATTCACACAATTGTACATAAGAAACGCTTCGCAAAAGTATCGAAGTAATTTTTCATTGTTATAGTGGTGCACCTCAGTGAAGAGAAAGATATTCCCCGCAATATTTAAACGGTTACTGAAGATATATTACGAAATTTATTTTAACATTGTTAATTTAATTTGCTTATTCGTATGATGCCTCTGTAATAAATGACGCTATGTATGTATAAATGTGAAAAGAATGTAACGTGCAATTTTGGTGAAGTATCCTTTATGAAAGAATACTGTATAGAGAGCAAAGAGTTTCTCAAAGAGTCTCGAATGTTGTGAGATTTACTCGACGAAAACGATGTATCGTTATTTAATAATGTATCTACATTATTTGCGATATTGTTGTACACCTTGCAGAGACAAAAACAGGCGCACAAGAGAACTTCATCAAAGTGGAACGTACGAGAAAGATCCGATTTTGCGATATGTGCACAACGAATTCCAGAACGTGATGGTTCGAAGTATTTGTATATCTGTGTATTGTCTCTCAAGATACCCAGATGTTAATTACCGGCTTAACGTTTCTTCAAATTTTTATATGTAAACATCTCACTATAGGAGTCTAGATAGTTATTTATTTCTATACATCGGTGCGACTACGTTTCTGCTTAGCGGAACATCCATTTAAGTACGCAACATAGATAAATTAAGAAATCAATAAATATCAATGCATGAAAGTGAGAGAGAAAGAGAGAGAATGAGAGAGAATGAGAGGAAGAGAGAAAGAATGAGAGAAAGGAAGAGAATAGGGAAAGCCTTGTAATCTTTGTTTTAAGGTAAAGGTAAAGGTACATGGAAATATCGTCCACGCGAGTTGCTTTAATAACCGGATTGACGACGTACTTAGATTATGGCTTGCCTATGATCTCTACAAGCACATAGTTGTATAATCTACTAATATGTTCGTCATTGATTATTTTACTTCCACATATTTTGCCAGTGAAATGTGTCTTTTAATCGAAACCAATTGTTTCCTTAACATCTCATTAGTCATTACATTTTGTATCCGACAGGAAGGCAATACGAGAGCGTAATCGTTGTGAAAATTTTATCCTGGCTGATATTTTTCAGAATACAATTTTATTGTAATGCTTCACGTTTTCGTACATGTGTATCACACGTGCTGTTCTAAAATGAAATCTGTTTTTGCTGGATTACAAGTATACATGGATCATAACTAAGGATTGGGAAAGAAATTTTTGATGGTACTGCTGCTCATTCGTATGAGATTTATGCTTTGTCAGGTGACAAAGAGGAAGATTGAAATAATGAGAGACTAAAAACATTTTATACATATATCTATGTATTAATATAAAAGAAATGACAAAAATGAATTTTTCAAAAAATAACGTAATCTTTTTATAACAGCATATAATTTATTGATTAATATAACTATTTATAGTTCTCTTCCACACATACATATATATATTTTTTTTTTGCACATGATTCACTTTATGATTTAATATTTTTTCAAAAAATTAATTATATATGCATGTATAAAGTATGTGAAAGCTACGATATATTGATGTTATCGTAGTGTATTTGAAAGATTTTTTGGAATAACAATAATTAATATCTCACATGCAATACTTGAAAGTTTGTCGAATAATAACATTATTTCCAATCTTCCTTTTCTCACGCATATTTTACTCTCGAAGTTTTATATAAAAGAAAGAGAGTAACGTGTCATCAGTAATATAAAATGCCGAATAGAACTGGACAACCATAGGATATTAAACAGTACATGAGTGAAAAAATACAATCTATGTTTCTCATACAAACAGATGGTTAGAGTCCGGAATTGTTACACTGGTATAATACCTCGCGGAAAATTGTATGCATCAATTGCTCTCAATTATTGCATTTTTTGTGTTACATAATCAAGCATTTAACGTTGATTTATAATGGTTTATGTCAGCGCAATACTTCCGGATCCCAATCAGTTCTTCATATTTAGAAACTTACTGATGTCCACCTTTACTTAGACCGTTTGTATCCTGTTTATAAGAAGGGAAGGAACTGTATTTTTCTCGCCACGAGAAAGATATAAAATGGTTCTATCGAACAGGAAGACAGTATAATGACTTACCTCAGCCTAAACGTAAATCTCAAACAAACGTAATTTAGTGAAAAACGTAGTCGAGACGACGTAGTGGTTTTTATACGATTGTTGTACCTGGCTGTATCAAAACGTTTCTGCTCGCTGTGTACATTTCGGACGGAGAGAATTCGATGTATTTTATTTCGAAAATATGCAAGAGATACACTTTTAGGATTTCTTTATATTTGTATACATTTCATAAAATGAAAAAAAAAAGAAAAGAAAACTGATAACACTGACAATAAACAAAAGGATATCAAACGTTTTGCATTTGTAGATTCTAAGATATAAAATATAGGAGTAAGTATCAGTCACGATTAGCAAAATTCATGTCTCTTTATTTTAATTGATGATAAAAAAATACAAATATTACTTTAGACGGCAAGTTCTATTAATCCTTGCATTTCTATCTTTATCATACAGCAAATATTAACAATACTATTATAATTAAATTAATATATATATATAGACAACAGTCGCACATTTCAGCATCATCTGCATTTATTTCGTATACAAATACTTTATCTTTACACAGTGTATAAAACACGTGTTACGTGTTTGCATTCTAATCAATCGTCATTTCATTTATCTTCTCTATAAATATTTATAATACTTATTTCAAAAATATACTGTAAGCAATCAAATTGACATATTAATTTTCATCCGGAACTAGAAGATTGAGATTGGCATCTTTCACTATAGAGCCCAGGAACTTTTCCTCGGCGCCGCGAATGGACAAGGTCTCTGCGACGATAGCAGTCTTCCTCTCGTCCATCATAGCCGCTCTGGCCCAATTCGAGCTGCTGCACTTGCCACAGCTGTGCGACGGCATACGGTTCAGACTGACAGTCCGGTTGCCACAATCGGCGCACTTGAAAAATCTCTTAATAGCGTCCATCACGCGCAACGGGTGTCGTTGCTCCTTACACATGTCCGACGCTGAGAACGCTGTGTACTTGCATAACATACACTTCACAGCTTTGCAATTGATCTTGAAAGTGCTCATCATCTTTTCCTCCATTCTCTCCTTGGCCTCTAACTTATTAAAGTACTTCTCCTTCTCTTCGTCGTACGACTTCTCGATCAAGTCTGTGTGCGAGGACTTTGCTTCTAGCATCTCTTTGATGCTCTTCCTTCTCATCATCTTCTCTCTGACGCTTCGCGTTCTTCTCCAGTTTTTCTCTGGTACTCGCGCGGACTTGATTAGGGTCCGTCGCTTTGATCTTTCCGTGCTCTTGCACCCACTTGATCGCATTCATCTTGGCGTTGCGAATCTGTTGGTTGGTAATTGGTTCAGAGAAATCTATTGTATTTTGATTACATCCCGTTCCTAATCGCGGGCGTGAAGTAAGAGAAGCCAAACCGATCTTATCTGTACGATTGCTCTGTAAATTATCTGTAGATTTGCTCGGGTTGCTTTCTTTCAATGGCATTGGACTGGAACACAGAATTGACCCATTAGGCGTTGATTGTACCATTACCTGTTTTGAGGGCTGCCAGTTCCTTAGTTTGTTCAGTCGTTCAAAATCTTTTCTGAATTGTTTGCCGGTCAGCTCAACAGCTATCCCTTTCTTCTTAGTATCCGTATTGTTCGCCTTATGGTTTAGATCGTTTTTTACTTTCTTAATACTGTTATCTGAAGTAGTCTCGGATAATAACTCCAAACGCGCACGGTCCTTTTCATACAATTCCTCGTTGCGTTTAGCTAATACCGGTACAAAAGATGCTAATCCGTTGTAAGGCTTTTGCATAACGGTCTGCCTATTCATGCGTTTTATCGCGTCTCCGGTGAATCCATAACTGGTATTGCTCGACTGTATTTCCGCTCGTCGCGCACACTTCTTGTACTCCTGTTTAACATGATAGATGCAGTACTCGCATCGACTTGTATTTATAATTGCGGTACACGGATCTCCATTCTTCTTGACCGACTTGCATTTGCCCATGTCCTTAGACCTGCCAAGAATCATCATCTTCTGAGGATTGTCGATCGACAGCGTCGCTTGATCGATATTATCCTTACTCTCGAGTACGTTTGGGTTGAGAATACCTATCACGCTGCCAACGATGGTTTTCCATAGTTGTTTATAGGCGTTACTGAATAAAAAAATTGACACAGTCTTTAGGTCGTCGGACAGATCACTTATTTTCCAGATACAGTAAGAGGTTCCCTTTTGCGAGGTTTTCGTGGTTGATTTGTTGATTAACACACCGGCAATTACCCAGTCATTACGTACATTATCAGAAATAATGTGGTTCTTTACTTTTGATATCGTTACAGATATTTTGTCTTTCATACGTTCTTTCATTTCAGCAGAGGATATAAGGGGACTAACTATTCTTATTCCAAAGAAGGGATCACTATAGACATCTTTTGCTGTATTATTATCATTACCTTTTATGGCGTTATTGAAATCAAATGTTTTACTCTTATTATTAAAATTAACTGTTTTTGTACTCTGTAATTTTACAGGCTGCTCAGTCTTTAACGAAGAGCGTTCTTTCAACAATTGTTTTAACTCTCGCCCATAATTAGAATACTTTTGTTCCTCAAAATAACGTCTGTCTTCGTCGTCAGAAGAATCAAGCTTGTCGTCATAAATCTCACTAACTTTCTCATCAATTGGTTTATTTTCATTACTTACGTTACTAGATGCAGAATCTAAGAAACTGAACTGCAATTCTGTTAAATTTTTACTTGACTTTGGTAGATCAGGCTGTTTAATTTCTTCAACCTGCTCAGATTGCTCAGTTTCTTCGGTGTCATTTGATATGAGATTATTCAGGATGTCTAAATCACAATCACTATCGTCACGCTCCATGTTGTCCTGTAAAAAAAAGATGAATTAAAAGAAATAAAGATATGTTTGTATTTAGTTTAATTATATTTATATTTCTATTTTAGTTGTTTATATTAAAGACATAATCTAGAAAGGAAAGAATATTTCTGGATGCTTAGATAGAGATGTCAAAAAATAAAGTAATGTCAAATGGAGTTAATTCACTTAATCAACCAATTAACTGTTTGAATTGATTATAAGCTGCTTAGTATTAAATCACACAGAATAAAAATTTTTTTTCTTTATGCATCGGATTACAAGTTGAAAAGGGATTTACCCACAAAACTTTATTCAAAGTTTGTATTTAAATACTCGTATATATTTATACAATAAAAAATAATCTAACCTTACTTACACGTTCTTTTCTATTAACAATTCAACAAAAATATTTCATTATCACAGATATTAGCGTGTGAATGCCTTGGAATCACAATTATCGAAGCATTATCCAACAATTTCTGCATGCAACACACAGTATGTACAATCTTGTACAATTTGTACAATTATTTACACGAGTGTCACACGTCACGCCCGACATTACCCGCCAATTTTTAGCAGACGACAGACGACAATGAGAATTCACTTGCGCAGGCGCCACTCGAATATTTCGATCGCTTCGATATATCGAAATTCACAATGGCGTCGATAGCTTTCGAGCTTTCGATAGTTTTTGAATTGCTCACTTCAACACGCGCGGAATCACCGGTCGTGGAATCGCGGTTTTTTGATCGTTCGTATTTTCGTCGTTGTGTCGTGAATTTCGCACGCAAACAATCGTCGTAATTTCCATGGCGCACAAAAAAACTTAACATTTAATCGTGGAACGTAAGTCGTAATTGTAGATCGACAAAACATTGTGCGTTGATCTACGACTACCGACTCAATTTTTTATTAGGAATAGCACTGTATGATTAGTGCATAATTAAATTAATATATATATATAGACAACAGTCGCATAGCCTATCTGCAATGTCAGTATAGGATTTCGATAGACTAACACAACCAAAAATTGACTGCTGCAACCAATTAAAAATGCTATGCCATATTTTACCATCTAATTTACTGCCAATCTTTTTTTTCAGTGTACGTTTCACGACTCAGTTACGACCATCTTTGTGCTTAGGCCCTCTCTCGTAAAGTGCTCCGGATGTTCGTCGTGTGGCACATTGAATGTATGAAGCAGACATCTTGGATTGCTACTTTGACTTTAGTACATCGATCAACTTCTCGCGTCTTCGGCAGTTTGCGCGCCCGAAGTCGTTTCCATCTCGCATCAATTGCTTTATTCACTCATCACGGCAACGAGAGTGCATTGAGTAAACGACTGTCACCAGGTATTTGCGTCGAATCGATAATTAATTTTATGTTGATTTATACATAAATCGTTTCTTTGAATACTTAAACTCGATAGTTGATGGTAAATTAACCAGCCATTTTTCCTTCTCGCTTTTTGCACATCGATAACAGTATATTCGCGACGTGGTGTGAAGAGTTTTAGATAAAATCTTTGCACAATTGTTTCCATTCATTCGAGTTTCTCGAATTGATATTGTTAGAAGTAAATGATTTTTATCTTGTGATTAATTAAGGAACTTTGGGGGCCCAAAATTTTATACACATTAATGATTGTTTACACTTTTATTCAATATTATTTCAAATTATATGATGGACATATTTTTTTATTAGACATACATATATATATATAACATAAATATATTTCAATAATTATAATAATAATATCGCTATTTTTTTTTAACAAACTCACAGATCGGAGTTTATAATTTTATGAAATATATATTATATATTTGTTAGTATATACATTATGAAGTTTATTTAATAATATAACATAAAGTATTTTAAAATGCAATACTTATATGTTATACCTCAGTAATAATCGATGAATGTGTATTTTATTACACTTGTTTTAAAAAATACGTAACTACGATTTTATTAATGGTTCTACGGATTAATTTGCACGTTAATTTACGCGTAAGTTTATTGCGCGTTTTATTTATTATCGCAGTATTTCGTTGTCTCGAAGAATAAATAAAAAAGTAAGGGAACTCGACAATCTCTAACGATTGTTCTACTTGAGCTGCACTATTCACAATAAATTATTTGTGACCTGCAATCGTCGCCAAATAGTCTCATGATCTCTGATTCATGGTATTGTCTCCGGTGTATAATGACATAATTTTCTATGGTCTAATGAGATATAGTCAGGGTGCACGTGTTATCATATAGGGCGTCCAAGTAAAGTCCTGCTTCTACATTTAACGACATGTACATTTGTTGACTAATCTAACAATTATTTTCTTCAGTAAAATATGAAGAGAAAAATTAGCTTTTACTATTAGATATTAGATATTAAATATAATTTTTAGTATTAAATAGTAATTTTAATATTTTTAAAAACGTGATTAAAAAATAAGGAAACCCCGTTGTGTTGTTTAAAATTTAAGGTTTTATTTTTTGTAAATTTTAGTTGCAATTTAAATTAAAATAAATAATAACCGTGTTGAAAATTCTAACCAATAATGACTTCTCGTGAAATTATACATTAATAAAATAAAATGAATTTCAAATTAATCAAAATATTTTATTAAAGTTATAATTATAATATATATATATATATATAAAAGAATTTTAAATATTCTTAAAAAATATTTACATACACAAAAAATTCTATATTGATAACGTTTAGTGTAAGTTAGTAGAAAAGTACATTATTTTAAGGATAATTATTGTTCTTTTGTTCACACTGGGTTCACATGAATATTCGTACGTATGAAATCGCGCCACTGTTATTTATACTCACCGGCTAACGATTTTCGTAGCGAGGTGACCGCGCTTCCCGCAAGCACGGAAATCGACCAGTCTCTCCTTATGAAATATTCAGGCTAGATGTTGCAGTCGGACTAACTCGAGCAGTCAGTTTGCATCTAAGCAATTCTCGCGGATGAGGAGGCAAGCAGCCGGTTTATCGAAAATACGTTCTGGAAATGCTTAATCGAAAGTCTCGCTGTATTAACTTTTGGCAACTTGATATTATTTCCCTTTGCGGATTAATAATTAGGACGTGTTACTTTTATTTTAAGTATTTAAGGCCGGTATTCATAGTCGATTCTTATTATTTTAAGATCATTTTAAGTAATGTTTTAAGATGCTAATAAAGCTTTTTGATTGGTTCGTGACATTTTAAGACTATACTTAGTGCAGTCTTAAATATAAGATTATGAATATCGATCTAAGTATCAATATCATCTAAAATAATACGTAACTTCTATCATTTATGGTATTCTGGAAAAGTTCAAGAAATATAATAGAATCCAATGGAAACAGAATAGGGGATTGATTTTAATTATTAACCCATTAAGGACCAAGACAAATTTTTTTTCTTAAAATTTAAAATTCTTTTAATGATAAACTACGCCCTTAAGGAGCCTTTTGGTAGATTTCGTATCTCAAAGTTGACCTATTTTTTTGGTCGAAAAATCGAGCCGGTCCTTAATAGGTTAAAATACTCGTTATAGGTAATTAATTTAAGAAAATATATATACAGTCTTTTGACAAATTATTGAGAAGATTTCTAGTAACAGCTTAAAGTTAAAAAGATATTATTACTGAATTTATAGTTTATATAAACTAAATTCAAATAAATTAAATAAAATTTATAGTTTATATAAAATAAACGTATCAAGCAAAGCTTTTGCGTTTTCCCGTTGGCCTCGTTTCTCTAGATAAACATCATAATAATTTTTAAATTACAAAATTAATGACCGTAAATTTAATAATTTAATAGTATCTGTTATTTCATTTTGCTTTATATATATTATAATTACTCGCTTGACAAGTGTTTTTACAGAAATATATGTAGTAACATTAAATATTAAGCGTTTTCATGGCTGTTTTGTGAAAGTGGCGGTTGCTTTAATCTCTGAGATGCTATCGTATTATGCGTTGAATAGTAGATAAATGTTTCCTGGGTACGCACAATGTACAGTTATCGTTTAACTATATGCTGGTATACAGCTTACACTTAATAAGCACGTAGATACCGGCTCATTATAGTCTCTCTTTGCATTCTAATGTATGTTCTTAAAATCTTCATGATTTTGAATAACGCTTAAACTATTACACTTAACCTATTTCTAAATTAAAGACCTTTATAATATTTCTATCGTCTATAGTAACTTAAATTATTGGAAAATTAATTAAGACGTTATCAATTTTTATTTAATTTATTTATATTATTTTAATTAATTTATATTTATTTAATTTATTTATATAATATATGAAAATATACATTTTATGGTATGCATAATAAAGTTGAAAATTCTTCAAAAAGAGAAAATATTGACAATAATAAGTAAAATAAATGAGAATAGAATATTCTTCTGGCCTTTTCCATTTTCTGTATAGGCATATTTTTTTCATTAAAATTTCATGTAAATGTAACTTGAAGAAGACTTACACGGAAACTTTCTTTTGACTTTGATACGATCTAGTTCCTCATAAAATAATAATAAACACGACGCGATGATTCCGCCCAAGGATAGAGAAATAATTACGCGTATCGAATAAATTATTCCGCATATTTTCGTCGATCGGCCGGCGTATGTATGCCGATGCACTTGGTGCCCCGTGGTACCATCGTTCGTCGGTCGATTGGAGCAATAAACCATCAATAATATAGTCTACTTGCTACTCAAACACGCAGAATACTCATGTATTTACATGCCTGGAAGTAACAAACTTGCAACTTAGTTGTTTTTCTTTGCGATTGTATTGTTTCGCGACGTTGCATAGAAATTTGCGACCTGAAGAATTTTTCGATTACACCAGAAACAATATCATCGACGAGCGAATGTACTTTATTCCGTGGTCTAATTTTGCCAGATCGATATGTCGAGTGGCACGAAAAAAGAAACAAGAACAAAATATTTCAACAAAGAAACTTGCACGAAAGAACTGTTATACTTTTCAACATACGAATGTTTGACTATTATTTTAATGAAAATTTAATTAAAGAGACGATATATACATATGTGTGCACTGAAAAAAAAGATTGACTGCTGCAGCAAATTAGATGGTAAAATATGGCATAGCATTTTTAATTGGTTGCAGCAGTTAATTTTTGGTTGTGTTAGTCTATCGGAATCCTATATTGACATTGCAGATAGGCTAACGCAACCAAAAATTGGCTGCTGCAGCCAATTAAAAATGCTATGCCATATTTTACCATCTAATTTGCTGCAGTAGCCAATCTTTTTTTCAGTGTGTGTATATATAAAAGTATTATCTCCTGTTATTGATTTTATATCTTAGGAAAAATGCCTTCTATATTAAATACAGAAAACGTATTCTAATATTTTCATTTACGTGCGTGCAATTTATCATGATATAAAGCTGAAATATTATAGTTAGGTAGTTATCTTTCTTCCGTAATCATTGTTCTCCAGTAATTAATAATAAATATTTCTTTCCGAGCTGATAGTTGTGAGTTTTTTTACTGCTTTAACAAATACGATATTTATCATTCTTCTACACAGTCTGACCTGTTAAAAAAAGAAATATACCTCGGAAAACCGTTGTAGCGGGATTTTTTCTTTCTTCATACCGTGGTCGCGTTGTTCGCTCGCGTGCAACGGGACTCTAGTGTCATTCCATAATTCTGGAACTAGTTGGAACAAAAGCAGCTCACGTATCGTCCATCTGCCCCCTTCCTTTCTGTCCCTCCCGCCTCTTTTCGCCGGTCTTGTTTCTGAATCATCTGCGACACAGCCGCGGGCATCTTCCACCTGCTAATCTCGAGGAAAGCTGCGCGTTCCAAGCGGCTTCCACCTGTTAGTTACGAAGGAAAGCGTGTAGTCACGGAGTCCCTCGTGTAGAACGAAACTGCATGCGCCGTGCATCGCTCTTCCACCCATGGCATCTGCGCTCTCTCTTTAGTGAGAAAGAGAAAGAGAGAGAGAGAGAGAGAGAGAAGAAGAAGAGCACATATTGCGAGTGCACAACACGATGTGCTTCGAAAGAAAGTACACCATTACCTTCGACGCATCGTTGCACCTCGCGATTTGCTCCTTGAAGCACCGACGCGGGTTCTTTCATGTGCGAACGAATCAGAATTTTTCATGACAATTGAATTCCATCTTTAAATTACGTGTAATATTATCTATATTTCCTAAGTTTAAACTTTGTAAAATAAAAGATTTTCTGAGAGATTCCAATTTACAATGAAACTACAAGAGAAAAGAATATCAGAAATTTATCATTATTATGCACATATCTCTTTGTATTAATTGGAAAGATCTCAATTATTGAATAATGTCTGCAATTATATAAAATAAAGTATTTATAAAATATTTATTCAGAAATTCAATACAATGTATAAATTATATGGAACTTGCATATTTTAACGTGTTTTAGATATAATCTTTGCATTTTTTTTATGCTTCAATGTGCATACTTCGCATTAGCCTTTGTTTTTGTTGATAACTGACTATCCCTTCGTTGCACGCTTCTTCGCCTTCAGTCGCCTTTTGTAACAAGCTCGGCGAAGAGATTTTCCCCCGGGACATGCTTCTCCCTTGACCTCTTTGTTGTAACTCATTTTAATAACGCAACTTCAATAATTATGGTTATTATAATAACGATGCGCAGTAAACGTAGAACCAAAGCGCTCGCCATTACAACGAGAACTTTTGACAAAACTTACTCTCTTTGTAAACGAAACCTTTTTTCTTTTTTGAAATAAAATCTCATAATATTTAAAGTAATTTATTTAAAAATACCAAGACATTCTGGTTTATAATTTGTAGATAACATCGCGCTCTTATTTGACCATCGATATGTTTTATTAAGAATAAATATTTCGTAAATAGACTAAAAATAAATGTGTAAGTTATCACACACACACACGCACAAATTAGAAAGAAATTATATCTTTTCAAGTTTTTATACTTTTCTTACTTTTCATTCCAAGAATATTGATTCACATAAATTAAATTAAGAAATTAAATAAAACTGAATATATCTATCTGCACCCAATTAAAATTGTAGCATTTATTCGCACGTTAATTCCATTTCTTAAATTAATTTTTTATATAATTATTACTTACAAAAAAAATTAATTTTATATTTGTGTTTTCATTTTATTTTATTATTATTTGTTGTCATCGTAACTTGAAGATGAGGCATATTTTAACCGAGACTTCCTTTCTCATGGATAATCCAAGAACACGTGCGGAGACCCCGACGCACCCCTATCACCATGCGTTTCCCCTTGCAACAGCGGTCATCCCTTCGTCGAATGCAGCTCCGTTTTCCCGTCACCTTTTCCGGCGGTGAGTCGCGGCGGAAGAGGGGTTCGCCGATGGTCTCTCTCCAGGCACGCGCCTCTCGCTTCTCCGTCTTCCTCGTCTGAATCGTGAACGTACCCGTTCTCTTCCCCTCGCGCCCATCGTCGGCGCTCGATCCAAAGTCCCCCTCCCCCGCCTCCCTCCACACTCTGCCATCCACCCACTCACCTACCCCGACCCAGTGGCCCGCGGGCCACCCCCACCTCACCCTCGTGGCACGGCGACCCCGCGCGCCCGTCTCACCGTCATCGCGCTGGTTCACGCTCCGTCAGTCTGTCGGCAACCTGCGTACCAGTCGTGTCGCAGCGCTCACGTAACAAAATTCTTATTATTATTATCATCACTCTTTACTTGCCTTGAAACTTGATCGGTGGTGTGTTCATTCTCGTTTACCGACTTCGTAGCGCGTATTTCATTTCTCTCGACACCGTCCTATCCCTTTAATTAACGTTATCACGTCCAGGAGCTCTCGCGCTCGTCGAAGAAAATCGCCGTTGCCGCCGCCGCCGCATACGTCCGCGCTCGCGCATGAAACTCCCCACGACCCGCGATTGTACGCGCGCATCATACGGGGCGCACCGATAAAGTGACCGAGAGACAGAAAATTATCACGAGGGAGAGAGGGAGAGAGGAGCCCGAAAACGTCAAGTACGAACCGATCGCCTGCAAACCTTATCCGATTGCCGCTGGTATCTACGAGCGTCGTTGGCATTCCGGAGTATTGTTGCGTGCCAACCATCCGATACGTAGCAAGTCGTACCATCAGTACGCCTCGCGCATCCTCGTCTTCGCCGTCATCATCGCCGTCGCCGTCGTCCTCTTCGTTGTCCTAGAGTACAGCCACGCGACGCAGCAGCGCTGGAGTTCATCAGCCGGGACGTCATCAGACTCGTTTCACCCGGTGCATGGGTCACTGTTCACCGATAGATGAACACCATGCCTGCTTACAGGAAAGACATCGCAGTTGCCGATCGCGTTCACCGCTGCTGCCCTGCTCCACCTCCACGGCGGGCACGCTGCTGGTGTATCGATTGCTCTAAAATAGACGCGTGGGAACAACACCTGCAGGCCAGGCGTACACGTACACACATGCCGTTCGCAAGCGCATAAACGCGCAACAGACTATACACGTCTGTGTTTCACGCTTCGTACACACTCATACATACGGCGCGTTTGTTCTCTCCCCCCTCTCTCTCTCTCTCTCCCGCTCTCTCTCCCGTTCTCTCTCTCTCTCTCTCCCTCCCTCCCTCTCTCTCTCTCGCGCGCTCTCGCTCTCTCGCTCTCTACTTCTCGTCGTTACGCTGCCACGACCCTCTCGCAGCAGCAACGTGTGACAGGTGCAACGACGGCGACATCGTCGTAGGGTGGTCGGTGGTGGCGCTGGCGAAGAGCCGCAGCAGGAAACGGAAGAAGTGAGTCGGGTTGGGGTTGCGAGAAGACGCGAATAAGAAGAGAAAAAAAAAGTAGAAAAGGCCAGGAAGGGAAAACAGAAGGAAGAGGAAGAAGAAAAGAAACCGGTTGAAGAGGCGAGAGAAGGACCGGATCAGGGAAGGAGAGGAGGCGTGGAGAAGAAAGAAGAAGGGGAGGAAGAGGAGGAGGAGGAGGAGGAGGCGGCCGCGGCCCCCGTGTTTCTTGCGAAGGGAAGGTTATTTTCCAGTGATACGTCCTGGAGGCGCCCGTCGTCTTCGCCGGTACAACCATAACGCCGCCCGCTTTAAAACGACCGAGACGGGACACGGTGGATTCGTCGCCGCCACCCGCTCGTACCGCAGCCCCCGGCAACCCCGGACCGTCCGGCAAACTCGCCTGCATCATGGACGCGCCGCTATCGCAGAGCATGGACTCCGTTAACACGGTGGCCACCGGCGAAGACGAGGTAGGTGTTTCGTATAAGGGTTCGCTGTTTGAGGCGCCGCGACGGCGGCGCAGCGCAGCGCCGGTTCGTACCGTGTACGATGGCCGAAGGGGTGGAATCCACCCCTTCTGACTTTTCCCTCCCCGTTCTTCATCGTAACTCTAAACTGCCTTCGTGCCGGTTTTTCACGAGACTTTATCGATATCTCTTTCTTCCAAAACCTACCCCCTTTCTTTCGTTCGCTTCGTCGAGAGGAATACTTGAATATCAGATATTTGCCTTCTATTCTTTTTTTTCCATCAAAAGGTTATACTGTTCTCTCCTCATTACCCTTTCTCTTTCTTCCGTCTTTTCTCCCTCGCACTTCTATATTATCGCCATATTGGTCGGTTCTCCATCCCCCTCGCTCGCGCTTGTATATATACGTTTGTCTCCCTTACTCGTTCCAACCCTCGCGCGTCATAGCGCGCGCAAGCGCGTAGTGGGGTTACTCGCGCAGGCTGCTGACACGCGCGTACCTCCGCCGCGTGTAGAATGCCGCTCATTAATGATGTACTCGATGCAAGCTCGATACATCATGCATGCTCGAAATGGTCCAACGCTAGGCATAGCAAATGTAATAATTAAACAGAGACTAGAAATGCATTCCGTTTATAAATAGTTCTAATTATTTAGATAAACAGTTCACAAAAACAAATTCAGATATACGTTGAAATATTCTTCTTGATAACACAGTTTTAATCACATTCCATGACGTTTTATGAATTGATTAGCCGTTTTGCTCAAATGATAGAGAAATAATGATCATTGACGCATAGAAAATTATTAGAAATGATACTTTTATTTGCATTACACTATTCTCAATGATTCATATTATGCTATTACAGCGGAGCTATCAGATATTCTCAGATGAGTAATTAATTGAGATATTTAGGAATTAATTGGAATTAATGATTGTGTATCGAGGGGCAAAATGCAAAATCGATTACGAAACAGAGAAACGCGAGGTTAGCAATTATATGTAATTGTACTATCCATTATGCTCGCGTGGTATATAACGCGCATTCATCAGGATCCTTTGTTCTTCGTGATCAACCGTAACTATATAATCTTGTGCAATTTTTCGCGATTGCTAACGTATTCTTTGTAGAGCGGGCAGCTGGTATGACGCAACTGTTCGAAGTTGAAACAGTTGTACGACGCAACTGTTCATAGAGTGGAAACAAATCGTATCTTTAATTTACGATGTCGTATGGATTTTAGATCGAAAATTCTATATGGAAGTATTATGTTACTTACAGTGTGAGTCGCGGAAACTTTGTTTTACATTAATTTTCAAGCCGCTCCAATGAAGTTTCTGTGCTGTATCATTGTATTGTGCACTTGATTGCAATGGCATACGTCAAGAATATTCAAGAATGTCGTAAAACTTCTCAAGAAAAAATACAAATATAAAAATAGCGGTGTCTCGCGAAGAAGCGTAGATGCGATACATTAAATTTTTACGCGTTGTATTCGTTGAAATGTTTGGTCTTTTAATGTTTCACAGCGTACGCTACCGGATGCTTTCAAAGTAAATTCGAAATTTTTTACATCCAGCAAGATTCTTTACATACATATACATAACAAATTATTACACTAAAGTGACATGTCAACAAATTTTGTAACATTGATTACGTATCTTTGCCAATACGTATCTATATATTTAACAATTAGTCTATGAAATAAATAGATAAAATATAACGAAAAAGAAATATTAATCAATTATGATTTAAAGAAACGGAGTATTGAAAGATTTTCGTTCATTAGTAGATAAATTTATCAAGTTAAAAGTGATTTTCTGGAAAGCAAATTAAATTTTGAAAATCATTTTATTATATATATATATATGTGTGTGTGTGTATGTTATTAGATTAAATATTCGTTCTAATAGTTCATCAATAGTTTATCTAATATTGGATTATTGATCCAATTTGACTAAAACTATTTAATTGGATAAGAACTCTGCAGCTTTGATTGAAAGATGAATTTTAGGCGAGTTACAATTTTGGTAAGTTCTTGTTATTTCGAAGGAATACTTATAGTCCTGGCGTTACTTTGATAAATGATAATGTCGCTCAAAGCTGCGTTGCGCAGCATCGTATATACGTGCATAAATATATATATGTATAAATATAAACACACATACACACACGCGCGCGCGCGCGCACACGCACACACATGCGCACATACGTACACACACATACGAGTCTCGTGGTGTGGAAGGCGGGAATTCGATCGCGTGCTTGCCACGACGGAGTGTATGCCTCGCAGGTGACTCGTTTTCACCGGTGCGGTGCGCTCGATCGGACGCTTGCTTGCTTGCTCGCTCGCTCGTTTGCCTGCACGCCCGCCTGCCCTCTCGTCTACCAGGCTGGCTTCCTTCCTCGTACAGGCACAGGCACAGGCAGGCGGCCACCTGAAAGAGTGACGCCACGCCGCCACGCCGCACCACACTACGCTCACTATTGATTTTTCCGCGACTGTGCGAGAGGGCCACCGAGGAGGGCCCGCCAGCACGCTTCGCGCTATGTCACATCATGCGGGAGGTGAATTACGCCTCGTGACTGTAACGTGGATACCAAAGACGTATGTGTGTACATGCGTATATACGCGTATGCCGTATACGTGGGCAGCATATATATACGGGTAAATGATTTGACTTAGGTCGCAGAACGTACCGGGTGGCGACCCCAACGAAGCGTAACCAGCGAACCTGCCATCCGTTTTTTACTTCGAAGGGTCAATCGATTCACAATGTTTACGATGGAGCAGATGCTCATAGGGAATCACATTTTGCGCTATAAAGTTTTGGCAAAATTGCTATTTCTTCCAAGAGGAAAAGTTATAAATTTATGTAGCTCAAGAAATTTGTAAATTAACCGTGTTGTGTGTGAAATAAGTTTCCATTTATTAATCTTTCTACTCATTAATTTTATTACTTTATTTAAGTCCATTTTAATACTATTTATGTTGCAGTTATTTATACACATAGCGTCTTATTTGTTCTAAAGTTTACTTATAACAAGTTTAATGCGAGAGCTTTTATTGTTCTATTTATGGAAAGAGAAATTATTTTCTTTATAATTATATAAAATATATATAGAATAAGCTGTCTTTTACTTATTTAATTCTTTGACTAATTTAGAATTAATTTTTCCTCTTATTGTTAATAAAATGTCAGGAAACATTTATCATTTACCATAAGTTTTTAATTTGTATCTTTAAATATTTCGGCAACTTGATTTTTGGAAAGTATTTTTGATCGCTTCTGTTTCATGATTTCTTTTTTTAGACAGAAATCGATTAAATGTATAAATCTGAAATTTTCTAAAATTAATTTAAATCATAAATGTATATTTTACGAATTAAAAATTTATTGTAAAGTTAATGAATTATGAAAAAGTTATTATCGTATTGTAATCTTTTCGAAATTGTTAAAATCATGCCATTGATTTTCGGGTTTGTTTCAAAACGAAATTCAGATAGACGGAAAAATGATAAGCGAATATTTATTCGAACCGTTGTTTTGTTGCGGAAAATTTCATATTTCAGTCGGTCTTTCATTTGGATGACGACGCGTTCGCTGTGCGACGAGTTCGTGATTATAACGAGGAAATGCTTTCATGCTTTTCCTCGTTAATCGAGAAAATGAAATTCACGAACAGGTTATGGCTTTTAATATGAGCGTCGATGTCCTACGAGAGTTGACGTTTACATATAACGCGATATTAACTTCCAAACAGAATTGTAGCTTGAGTACATATGGCATAACAATCACTTTAATTAGTTTTGATAGTAATAACAATTATTTAGAACATTACAATTTTGCAAGTTAGTGAAAATATATGTTGTTAGTTCCAAATAAAAATAGTTAATAAAATTAATTATATTTTTATTGTTTTTCGATAAAGTTGCATAGTTTTTATCGTAAGGTATGATAAGAAGGTTTTCAAAAAATATTTTTCTTCATATATTAATATTAATTGGTCGTTTAGTATTTCAACAGTCCAAGTAATAACAAAGTAATGTAAATAACGCTCGATATTTGCAATAGCACAACAAGTAACTTTCAGAGACGACCAATAAACGAGCAATTTTAAAAATTAAAATATTATTTATACATTAAATAACATACCAAATTTAATTACAAAAACGTTTTGACTCACAGAGTCTTCTTCAGTTTAAAGTCGATTAACCTATCCTTGTACGTAAAATGTATGTCGAACGAAATTAATGTCATTATTTAAAGCAGTCGCAACCATTGGTAGAGTGATAACACCAATATTGTATGTCCGCAATGATTGATGTCAAGATATAAAAATCATAACTTAATTACCCGTTTGACAGCGAGAATCGTGTTAAGTCCCATCATGTAAATTAGTGTCAGTTATTAAAATATTCTAAATTAAATAATGAATAAATAATGTTAAAGTTAAAAATACTCTAAATCAGTCTAAGTAAAGTCTCAATAAATTTTTGAAATGATAGAGTCGATAAAAATTTAATTATACAATGTTAAAAATACAATATAAGTGCAATATCTACATATATAGTATGTTTACCGCGCATGTCCTCATTATATCAATCGATAGATTTCGATTTCACTGAAATTTTGCGGTGTACGTGTATGACTATAACTCAGTGCGTACTAGAATTATCAAGATTCACGCACAGACGCCATCCCGCCAACGAGGCGCTGCAAAAGAGCAGCGGCGCGTGAAAAAATCCACAAAGATATTTCGAATTCGTTAGGCAAACGAACGATCGCGCTCGGGTATACGTACAACGGTATTATCCTCTTAGAAGCGGATGGTGGAGTCCGCATTATGCGTTAACCTTCATCGATGTGTGCATGCATAAAGAGTACTGGCTGGCTAGGCCGCCCCTCGCTATTTCTTTCGCTCTCGTTTCCGTCCTTCTTTCTGTCTGTTCCGCGCGAAAAGCAAACGGGGAATTGGGCTTCGAATCCCCAAAGCTGC